TATTAATAGTTATAATTTAAAATATGTAATTTATTTAAGTTATTTTTTCAATCTTACTAAATTTTCAAGTTATTATATATTTAAAAGGAATTTAAAAACTATAAGATGGTAAAGCTAGGGATGAGAGCTTTTTTTAGTTACTAAAATTTTAAATTATTATATATTTAAATTTAATAAATAAATAAATAATATAATTTTAAATTTTAAATTAAGTACCTATAAGTAACTTATAAATAATCATAAAAGCTTGAATTCAAATTCATTTTTTTTTATTAAACTTGACTCTTTTATTTCAAAATTCAAAGTTTAAGTCGAGTTTAATTTAAATAGATCACGAGTTTTTCATGACCTAACAATCCTATGAATACCTTCTAGTAGTTTACAAAAATAAAAAATAAAAAAACCGAAAAACACACTTTTTCCAAATCCATACGGCAATTGATGTGAGTGGCAGGCCTTTCATTGCGGCTGCTGTCTTGTTCACAAATGAAAATGAAAATACTAAGGTCACACAATGAAAGTATTAAGTCTACACATATTATATATAGTTTGACTAATATTTTAATAATCTATATTTTTTAAAATAACTAATTATAATATTGAAAAATATTATTTTAAAAATTAATTTTAATATAAATATTAATTATTTCATTATTATATTAATTATTTTTAATAATTAAATTAATCAAAATTAATATTTTTAAAATAATATTATGTGATATTAACATTTTAGTGGGATGACCATGGCTAGGTTGCCTATGTGGCTTAACGTCAGTCGTGAACATGCATGCGTCACTTGAAATAAGGAAAAAAAAAAAGAAAAAAACGTCAACTTGTCAAGAATGGGATTCGAACCCAGGCCTTTTCGGACCAGTATCTTAAACTGGCGGCTTAGACCAACTCGGCCATGTTGACACGTGATGCTGAGGTGTCACTGTTTTTGGTACTTATCTCGAAAGAAAGTACCACCTAAACTTTGAAACTTTTCACAAAAGATATAAGGTAACGAAGTGATAAGTGGTTTGTTTGAATTTAATTAAAATCTTAAGTTTGAAATTTTGTGCACGTAATAATTCTCATTGAAAGACTCATCTATTATTTTCAGGTACGTAACGCGGGTTGAATCCGAATTAATCGAGGTGAAACCCTGGATATTGGAAAATCAAAAAAAAAAAAAACAAAACATCTAAACTTTAAGAATTTTTTTGGCAAAACCTGCAGATTAGTCCCTCAACTCGTCGACTGGTGGCAAATCACCCCCTCAACTCAATTCACGCACATACTAACCCCTTAACTCATCTGCAGTGGCAAATCAGCCCTTTTGTTAAGATCGACGTCATCATTCCGTTAAGTTTCAAGTTCACCTCATCAGCCCCTTCTCTGCAATTCATCATTCCGTTAACTCACTGCAACCTCATTCAAACCCCATTACCCTAAAATACAACATGAAATAACTGCCGTGAAAAGCAGACATTCCGAATGATATAATCAATTAAATTTGATAATGAACTAAGAATTCAAATTATACCAATAAGTAATAATAGGTACAGTCACATTTCGTTAGTGAAACTTCACCTCCCCACTCCTCGATGGCCCTCCCACCGGTAAAACATTCCGTATCTCCCTCCACAGCAGCTACTGCTCCACCACATGCCACTCCTCACTCTCCTCTCCATAGCTCACTCCCAGTGAATCAAATAGCGCAGAGTAGTAATGTATCGCCTTCACAAACCTCCCTAAAAATGACCCCGCCAGACTCAGGTCCTGTTCCACCACCGTCACAAGCTTCGGTGCCAATCTGTAGCATCCATAAAAAAATTCATGAGGTACAGAATCCATTTTTCTCTTTATATTTTAATTAAATCAAACAAAAAAATACAACTACAAATTGAGAAAATCAATTTTTTTCAGAAGTATTATTTCCATGACACAGAAAAAGCTAAAAGGTGAAGAACTGTATCTTTGATTCTCTGTGCATGGAAGTATAAAAATTATTTATAAATTTGGGAATAAATAAATGGGTAGAAGAAAAAAAAGTTACCTTTGCAGGAGCCAGTCAAACCCAGTTACATTGTACAGTGAATGCTGTAGCCAATGGACGGCAATGGCCTCCTTCTTACTAACATTCAACCTTTCTAGGTCTAAATTTCCAACCTTGTCTGCCACCAAATGGAACTCAAAGGGGAGACCCAGTTTCTCGGCAAAATCGAAGAGGCGTTTCCGATGGCGTTTTCCAGTTTCTTTGCAGCGAGTTAACGAAATGATGAATTGCAGAGGGGCTGACGAGGGGAACGTTAAAACTTAATGAAATGACGATGTCAACATTAACAGAGGGGGCTGATTTGCCACTGCAGACGAGTTAAGGGGTTAGTTTGCGTGTGAACTGAGTTGAGGGGGTGATTTGCCACCAGTGAATGAGTTGAGGGGCTAATCTGCATGTTTTGCCAATTTTTTTTATCTTGCGTTTTAAAAAATACAATATAAAAGTTTATTTATTATATTTTTTATTTTTAATATACATAATAAAATTTAAAATTAATATT